AAGTGAATCCTTTAACTTTGCCTCCGATAACCCACCAAGGCGCCACACCATCGTGCCATGTTTTGATAAAATTACTTTAATTAGCAAAATGTAACTAGCACACAAAACAACAACAAAAGAGACAAATGCTGACAAAGGCCTTTAACACTTAAGCAAAAAGGCATTAGAGTTGTCATTAAAGACAACATGCATACAGAATCATTGCAATGCTTAGTGTCTCAGATAAATAAATCATCCCAATGTATTATAAAACATTGTAAATAATGAAAAACATTGATGACAAAAGTAGCATACCAATTTATCTATAACTAACTTGACAGCCAAGTGAAGCCTTTGCATATAGCCATGAATATTGTATACTGCAGTCTGCATCAGAATAATACACTTTATACACATGACTTTTCAGCACCATGGATAGCTCCATGGATAGAGTCCTAATGGAGTACAAATCTGTGATAAAAAAACTGATCTGCAGGGATCAGCACAGTTAACCAGAACTCAACTCTTAACCATTAGAGGTGGTGGCGTCTATTTAAGACCCCATTTCCTCTGTGTGTCCCTATCTGCACTTAGATTGCGTATTTTGGAGTTTCCCCCCCAGGCTGTAAGTTGTACGCCTTGTAATAGAGGTCATGAGAAATGCTCGTTTACGAACCCAGAGGATATAAAATCCAATGGCCCACTAAACTTTTGAAGAGACGGTTCAGTTTCAGAAAGTTTTTCAGGATAGAGGCTAGATTTTTGTCTGCTTTTATCAATGCAGTCTGTTTACTGTTTGCTAGAGCCTGCGCCTGTTAAATTTTTTAAAAGAACAAATTTTATCAAGCTCAGACATAGCCTGTCGATGCCGGCTGGTGTCAGATGACAAAAAGCTTATATGTGTCGTTCCAGAGGGCATAGACCAACCGTGTATTTTGTCATTAAATTTGGAGGACTTGTTGTTTGAGACGATCCACCATTTTCTGAATTCATCAATACTGAATTCCCACTGTACTGCAGTCCTTGTCACTGCTAACTTTACTGTGGGCCTGAGGGTGTGGAGAGCCATGTGCTTCTCCCAATACATATGTAGCCACCAGCTGCTGCTTTTTACCAGACACCCAACAGCTTCACTGTAAGGGATTTCTGTCTAGTTTTTTGCATTTTATAAATGTAAGCAGGCCTTAGGGAATGACTTTTTGAAAGACGTGAAGTTTACAGAGACATCTGAAGCAACTATGTAAATTAATGAAAATAACAATAATCCTCCCTATTCTAGCCTAGGTGGTCGGATTACCTGATTATTGAGAGCACAATTGTGTGTCTGTGACTGGAATTTAATGCCCTTGTTTTGTCTCCTTCAGTCTCCCTCCTCCTTTTATTTTTGTGTCTCGGGCCGCGAGAGGGAAGAGGGAGAGAGGAGCATGGGTGATAATGACTTGTCAAATTAGAAGCGATGGAACCTGCAGCGAGTGTAAACACAATTCAGAATGTTCAGATGACATTTTCCAAGCTGTATTTCTACTGGGGGAGATTAGCAGAGTGACAGCTCAGCCTGAATCTCATGGATCACAGCTGCACAATGGAGAGCACCAGCACACACACACAAAGACAGAGAGAGACGAAATTACTAGCATTTTAATACTACACAGCAGACTGACACCTGCGTAAGCAAACACACAGCTTTCCCCTACAGAAAAACACATGCATACTCACACTTTGCATTTGGAGATCTTGTGATTTGAAATGCTTCGCCTCCTTCAGGCCTTTCTTCCCAGTCATGGTCCAAGGGGCTTGGCTTAGCCAGTCAGGCGTAGTTCGGATTCATGTCTATGTAGCCTGCCCACAACCCGTCAGCATGATGGATGGTGTTCACACACAGCCTTGACTTTATAACTTATAGGGATTTTATTTGCATGTGTCCCCATCTCCAGTAAAACTGCACATGATGTAGGAGAGCTGTAGACTTTTTAGTTGTTAAGATATTAGCAGCTCCTGTTTCGTAGTGTTCTATTTTACGCATGGCCGTCCTCCCCGGTACAGCAGCAGCCATGAACGGTGTTGCTCATTTCCCAACTTCGCCTATGAAATAAAGAGCCTTTTACGAGGAACAATGTCCCGGCCACCACGTCTCCCTCTATCCTGCTCCCACTATTGGAGAGATACTATTGAGAGTCCTGACCGCATCAATTTGGGCCTCAAATGACTTTCCCCAGCTGGCCAAATCCTGACAAGCTTTCTGTTCTCCTTAAAAAGAGCCCTTTATCATCAAGAGAAAGGAAGAAAGGAAGAGCAATGGAAAGAAAGAGAGAGAGAAAAAGAGAGAGTGAGTAAAGTCAAAAAGCTAATGTCTCTGTGACACCCTTTCTCACACAACAGGGGAAATTTCTGTTCTATAACGGGTTCTGGTTAATTTGAAGTCAATTGGAGAGTTATTAAAAGGATCTGAGTGAGCTGTGCTGAACTTGGTCAAGGGCAACAAACTCACCCTGGTTTCTGTATGAAACAATAGAAACAGTACCAGTCACCTTCAGGCAAACTTGAAAGTTTGTATTATTTGCCAATAAAATACTACTGGATTCCACCCTATTTTACTTTTTGTAGTTATTTTAGCCTCAAATGTATTTGCCTGCAGTTTCCTTCTGAACACCTGCTTAGAGTCTGTGGCGTAAATCTCATTGTTGAGGATTTGCTTCATTTTTATAAGGTATTGTTTTTGGTTTATCTCTCAAAGCTTCATGTTGCCTTTGAAATTACTCCGCCAATATGTATGCAAATGGTAACATCTACTGCCAGAAATTAGATTTACTTCATTTCCCTGTTGTTCCCATATCCTTTCTGTGGTCCTCAGGTGCAGGTTGAGTAGTTTAATGTAGCACTGTGGTGCATTACAGCACAATTTACAGTGCATGCACTACAAATAATGTCAGAAACCAAAAAATAATAAAGCAAGATACCAAGAAATGGAAGCTCTGATTTAATTCACATACAGTAGGATATGGTGAGTCTATCATACTAAAGTGGACACATACAGGTGTATGGTCGGGCTGTGTTTTTCTGAGCTAATCGGGATAATGGCCTAAATTTATAGGGAACATATAGGGACATACACATAGGGAGCTACTTTATGCATTTTACACATAATTGCCAAACACAACGGGAACAATGGGGAACAACAACCTGGAAAAAAATGAAATCAATATAAAATAAAGGGAGGAAGAGAAAAAGACAATACTCTGCAATACAGCCAGTGAAGCATAACAGCCATTACAGCACACATTAAGGAAGTTCATTATCATACATTTACTCATTACCAAGGTTCCTAATAGTGGTGGCTGTCTTAGTCGATGGTTTTACAGTCTACGGACAGGCCTAGTTTAACCTGCAGTGAGATGCTCCCAACCTTCCTGAAAGAAAAAGCCAATGTTTCCAAATGTTTAGATGAGAGCTAAACCAAGATTATTTGACATTCCCCAGAAAGAAGAAAAGAGCACCCTTCTCTTGTTAAGTGTGAAAGATGTGTTGTTACAGACACGAGAACGTGTGCTGGACATTATCAGTGCAAAATGGGAAGTTATAGTCAGAGGTCAAACTGATTCTATAGGTCTCAGTGACGTAAATAAGTTTAAGTCTTTTTTATGTTTTTTTTTAATGGCTTAAATGTTATTCATAGTTTTACTGCTATGTAGGGGATAATCATCAAGTGTTGAAACTGGCTATACTATGGAGTATAGCAGTTTCAACACTTGATGATTGGGAAGTAGTATGTAAATGGGAAATATTATGTTGCAACTTGTTCCCAGATTTTTTAACCTGTATTGTTTTGGCAATTTGTAAAAGTATGCAGAATGAGCTGTGCAGTTTTTGTTTGCAATGTATCCATGGATGTACAGTCATCAATGGTTTCTAAGGACAACTTAAAAACATGATGATTCTCAGAGTTGTTGAATTATGTTGTTGAATTATAAGGAGCTTCTTTTTTTTAAAAGATTTCTAAATGGATTTATGGACGTTTATTTTCAACGGACATCGGATATACTCCTTGTCACACCGTCTAAAAATGTGTGCATCATGTCTGTGTGTTTTGGCTCTGAGAAGGAGTAGGATTTTGACACAAATTGCAGCATTTGGTTGCTAAAGGATTTAAAATACCATAATTGCCTCCATGCGTTGTGTGTCACAGCGGTACAGCTTACTGTTTTGGTAAATGGCCCTAATCCATGGCCAATACAATAACTAACTTCTTGTTGTTTTTATAATACTAGCACGTACCTGTCCCTTTCACCTTACCCAGTCATTTTATCCAGTCTCCCCGAGAGGAGAATATTTTGTGAGAGTTATAATGTGAGATGATACAGAGGAAATTGAGCTGGAATCGACTAAGCAGGAGAGGAGGCAACTTTTTACAAACAAATCTGTAAATTATTTAATACTTCTTTGAACAATCAGCAAAAGCAGCCTGATTTGGGCCACAATAGCCACGGCAGTGAGGACATATTCCGAGTCTGGCATCAGGCTGTTCAGATGGGCTTTGTGTCGGCAGGTAGCTGTATGGCAGCAGACCTGTCAGACATGCTGCCTGTTTGCTTTGCATATGCAGCCTTCACATCACATCACATCACATCACATCACATCTCAGGTTCAGTTGTCCCTCACTCTTTGTTTGTTTTGCTCGTTTTTAATATATTAATATTATATAATATATATATATATAATATATAATATTTAATATATCTTTCTACACACTTGGTTTAAACTTCGGTAACATGGCAGTGTTAATGGATTGGTACATGTCTGCAGCAGGGCCTAAAGATGGCCAGTTGTTTGATCGATCCATCCAGCGTTAACTACTGGCCAGATGGCATGAATTGTGTATTGATACTCTTGCTTCTCAAAAAATGACTCACCGTTTTTAAATATATTCAATATTTAAATAAAAGAAATGGGGAAACATTTTGCTTTTACTGGTTTTCTTAACATAGGACTTCCCATAAATCCCTAAAGAAGGATACAATATTTACCTGGTATACCATGTTGACTTTATATGCTATATATTATTACTATAAATTATTATTATTGTGGTTAAATCTATACCTGTATTACTATAGTTGTTATTCAGTGATGACAGAAACAAAAGCTAGACTTATACAAAGCAGAGTGTTATTCCTCATCTGTTCAACTGTTATTTCAACCTCAACTGATTTTGGGATAGACAGCAAAGGTAGTTCACCCCCGTCTTTAGAGAGAAATGATCAGTATTGGTCCACATTTGCATATAAATGAACAACGGTGAACTGTCAGTAAGAGAGAATGAAACAGCAAAATGTGGAGTGACAGAGCACAGAGGCAGAGATTAAAAAGACAGATATCAAGTAACTAAGAGTAGTACAAAGGAACAGGGGTGTTTAATACAAACAATAATAGACAATCATGCCTCAGTGAAACATATAGTTCCAGACAACAAAGATGGATGACACAGATCTTATTTTCCTTATCAGGTTGTAGTTTGCTGAATCTTTTGCCAAATGACAATTTAACTTCAAAGGCCTCTGTAACCTATGCTTACACAATTCAGTTTTTTCTTCTTTCTGAACTAAATCAACTGACAATTACCATGAAAGTATTTACATAAATGGATCTGATATGGTGTCCTATTCACACGCTTTGTGGTTGGCATTAGGAACAATTATTTTCATGAGCTGTTTTTGTAGCAACAAAACTAGAACTAACAGGACAAAAATACTGCTCAGATTCTAGTGGAAAACCAGATTGAAAACATGGTGGAAATATTGCATTTATGTTTGTTTCATTTATTAATTAGTACAGTTTCCTGATTGCTCCACATATACTGTACCTGATGTTTTCGTCTGCTGACATTTTCGTCTGTTTAGTGGAGGCTGCTTAAGTGGTGTTTACGTCACATGATTCATGCATGTCATGATTTATTCACTAGGTCTGTTTTCCACTGCAAACATTTTTGCATCAGTTTTTAGGCACAAACTGAAAATGCATACAGAAACATGTTGATGGAAACACACAGTAATGCAGAATTCACACCGGTTACATGGTTAGAACATCTACTGCTATTTTGAGTTCATTAAGTATTAGACTGGAAGAAAGACTGTTGGTTAAAAGCCGCAATTCTATCACTGCAGGGTTAAGACTCAGGTTGTAGTCAAATGTGTTGAAACTGTGCTGAACAACAGAAAAAGAAGACTAATTCAACAATATTTTGTATATCCAACTATCTAATTTTATCTCAGTACAGGAGGACTTGCAACAGTAGTGTGTGCAGTACAGTAGAATAATATGTAATTTGCTGAAAGATTATGGGAGGTATTTTTATCTTATCCTAGGGCTTATAGTGCAGGGAACCATTTGCTATAGATTCTGCACAATTACTTTGAGGGGTCAGGGCAGCTCTCAGCCACAGTACCTGCACTCGGAGAACCATGGAGATGTACATAATTTCTCTATCAACACATAGGTGAATTTCCACAGTGGATAATGTCGGTCATTTCTTTTTCTCTGGGGTTATTTGTTATACAAGATGTTTGTTCTGTAAGGCAATAATCATATGAAAATACATTCTACAGTATACTGAACAAATAAATAATTATTCATTATTGTTTCAAAGAACAGCTAGAAACCATCGAGTAGGCCATGGAGGAGGGAAAACATCAACGGCAAGCTAAAGGGAGGGAGTCGGCTGGATAGGGAGATAAGAGATTGAGTCATGTGTGCAGAGTGGGTGTAAACTGAGGAGGAGAGAAAGAGAATGAGAGAGACAGAAAGTTATTAAGAGTCCTTATCCACATATAGATCATTGAATGTCTTCCTGGCCTGTGAGAACCCTGCCGCCCACCCAACATCTGATAATTACACTTCATTAGGAGAGCAGGTAGTGATGAGAGAAGAGAGGCTGACTACTGAGGGTGACATGAGCGCTAGCGAGAGACATGTCAGTAGGAAAGCAAGGTACACTTGAGTTAAATGCTGTTGCAAAAGGATAATGGGAACTGGATTATAGAGGAAAGAAAAGCAGGAGTTGATGTAGATGACACATGGCCTGTACTATACACAACTTTGCGATTGTGTGTGTTTTGGAGGTTGGGTTTTTTGCGAGTGTGTGTTTGCTTCTTTGTGTGGCGCCGTGAGTGTTTATGCATGAATGTGGGTAAATTTATAGTAGCTCAGGGGTCTGTATTTATTGCCTTGGTAAGATGGACAGGTCTGCCTCGACGCAGAATGTAATAAGGTTTCTGTGAGACACACACACACATCCTGTAGCTTGACATCCCCCCCTTGCTATTTCCTTGCAACAGCCATACCTATGCCCTACACACATCATGTGATATAGCAGTGTTAGGGCATTAGCATCAGAGTAAAGGAGTGCTGCAGCTTACAATGCTGCAGTAAGATTCACTGGAGCAGAGGCCAGTTTCCCTCAGTCTGACAGCCTATGGGAATGTGTCCATATGGACCCATCCTTTACAGTATGGGCTTGTCTGAGAGTGGCTGAACAGAATCGCTACTTAAGGTGTGATGTCCCAGAGGTGCAGGGAGGAAAAGGGAGAGCTCCTGTATTTGTGCGCATAGATGTGTATGTGCTGTCAGCACAGAGAGAGAGTGAGAGGTGAGGACTGCAGTATTCCTCCAGCGGGAAGCATCGATTTTCCGACCCAGCGTGGGGATGTGGGAAATGTCAGCCTCTAATTGAGTTGATAAAACCGTTTTGAGTTTCACACGTAAATATGGTTTCCACCACAAAAGGCCACCGCATTAGACAACTCCCACTGGGAGGTCTCCTTGTTGTGTGTTTACATGTGCACGCCATTGTGCGTTGGGAGTTTGTCTCTCAGACAGCACACATATGCAGATATGCATAGTGAAAGCAAATGAAAGGCACGGCGCCACTGAATAAAATGTTTTCTTTCATTGTGAATCGGGATATGAGCTCGTTAGAATAAACAGTATTTGTTTTGGCAGAGAGGGCAGGAATGGAGAGTGTGAGAGAGAGGCAGAGGTCATATCCATTAGAGGGGTAGAGGGTGAATAAAGTAAAGGCTGAATGAAGCCTCCACTGTCCCTGCTGATTAACAGATTGATATGCAGTGAGGGCAAAGGACTTACCTGCTGCCTTCAATGGAAATTCACTCTAATGTCAGAGGAGGAGTAGTTGTCTGTGGTTTCTCTGATGATTGTCGCCTTTTTAATGCCTAAATGTTCACAGGAGATAGATGGAAGGGAATCCAGCCGTTTTCTACAGAAATAATAATATTTCTTTTCTTTTGCTAAAAAGTACAACTTGTCTTCCACACTTAAACAGGTAATAGTGTTCATCAGTAAGATTCTTAACAGTTGCATAATTAAGTCTAAAGTTGTGAAGAGTGCATGTGAACACATGAGAGTGCATGTATGCCTGTTTACACCTATAGGGGCCCTGCTCTCATTATAAGGAGTGATAATTAGACATGGTTTCACACATTACGCCTCGCACACATACACACACACACACACGCACACACACACACACACACACACTTGTGGCTAAGCCTACTGGTAATTAACAGACATAATTAGGCAGACAACCATTCATATAGGGAATGCACACTCATGCAAACACACACACACACACACACACACACACACATTACTTCCCTGGTAATTAAGAGTATTAATTACAAGCATAGCTGTCCCTGTGAGGCTCTGTATCACTCACAGACTGGCACGCAGCAGGGTTCTTATTACTTTATCTCATCACACCATCACCACTTCTCTCTCTCTCTCTCTCTCTCAGTCTATCTGGTTACACATGCCCTAATACACACCTGCTGGATAAACAAATGGTAGCTAATTAGTTAGAGACTGATAGCTGGCCATAGGTTAACCTCCGGTAGCTTGGGAATTGAGAAAGATCTGCTCGCTAGAACCAGAACAGACCAGTGTGCCTGAGGGGCTGTGCCAGTGTCTTTGATTTTTGTCAAATGTCCTTTCAGCTGCTGGGCCCTGTGCTTCACTTTTTTTCTCCCCTGCACTTCATTATACTGCAGCAGCTGAAATACAGTATACATTTCACAAATTAGGCTGGGAAGATACAGTCTCCACCCACACTGCATGTGTTAGCTTGTGATTTTATCTGTAAAATGAGCAACTCTACTTTCACTGCACATTAACCTAGGTGGACATGAAGTCTCAGTCCAGTCAGAGTGGAGTATCTTTAGCGAGTGGCATGCAGTACGTTAAGAGTGAAAGATAGCTGAACTAGCCGGTTAGCTCGGGACAAAAACTGTGACCTGTAAGAGCCTGTAGGGAAAAATATCTGTCCAGATAACTGTTAGACAAGGAACACACCTTGCTTCACAGGCTTGAGGCGTATTCCCAGTTAATGACCTAGGCTTGCACTCTTTGGCACTGGAGCTGTGCTGCACCCTCAGCACTTGGAGGAGCCTGACATCATTTATGGAGATATTTCACAGTTTATTCCCAAATTTCACAGTGGAGGTTGCGTGTTTGGATATTGCTGTCTCTGCAGAGGCCAAGGTGGCACACATGCCCTGAATGTGTGAGCATTGTCAAGAAAGCAGCAGAGGAGAGATGTGTCTACATTAAATTGTGCAGTAAAATATGCAATCCTCCAAAAGCTCACACACAATATGGAATAAGACTATGGACTACATCAATATCCATGCAGTATACACCATGACACAATTTATACATGCATACTGTACACAGCTTAGTGTCTCATTACCAATAAAGCTATTTAAGGGAGTGTTTTCTACTAAGTAAGAAGAGGATTATTGTGGGTGGTTTATGACATGGTAATCTTCATCCCTTGCATTCTTGTAAAGTAGAGTAAACCTGCATAATGTTTTGCTGTAAATCTATATACAGTATTGTATATATTGAAATATATTTCTATGTGCTGTAATCACACTACTCATACAGTACATAAATGTTGATGAATATCTCCCTCTCTCTGTCTGTTTCTCTGCAGTGGACGGCTGTACAGATTGGTCAGTGGACTACCTTAAGTACCGGGTGCTGCAGGGTGAGCCAGTGCGGCTGAAGTGCGCTCTGTTCTATGGTTACATCCGCGCCAACTACAGCCAGGCACAGAGTGTGGGCCTCAGCCTCATGTGGTACCGCAGCTCTGGCCTGGGCCACAGCGACTTCGAGGAGCCCATCTCTTTCGACGGCATACGTATGAGCAAGGAGGAGGATGCCATCTGGTTCAGACCAGCTGACCTGCAGGACGCAGGCCTCTACTCTTGTGTCTTACGGTAGGATGGAGGGATGAGAGATAATGCTGGGGATGATGCATGTCAAATTCCACTTTAACAAGCGATCTAATTTTGCTTAATATAGTTCAGCATTTTTAGGAAACAATGATTTGCTTTCTTGCAGAGAAGAAAATAACTGACTTATTACTAATGTCTGTTTCAATTATTTGAAAAAGTCTTGGGTAAAGCTGCCTATGTGTTTTGGGCATTTGTGTATTCATGTGTATGTATGTATAAGAGAAAAGGACTAAAAAGGTGAATTATAAACCACGGTAGGTGTGCGAGGGGAGATATATAGGCAAAGAGAGATAACTGAATACAAAAGCAAGCAAAAACACAAACACGCACACGTACACGTACACGTACACACACATTTTAGTGGGCCGTTACAGTGAGACTCTTCCTAATACAACATGCATAATTATGTGGCAGTAACTTATTAACCTTTACAGTGGAGTACATCCCTCAATTAACGCCTCATTGCAGCTCTTCATTTCAGAGAGAGTTTTTAATAAACCCAGTTAAAGGCCTCTTAAAGACCTAGAGAGGCTTGCAGGATACATTGAGTGTGACCAAGGGAGTGTGTTTGTGTGTAATGATACCCCAGCCTACACTTGATTTCATTACTGCACTCTGTAGGACCAATCTGGCACAAACACTTTCCAATGTTGTCTCACTATAAATTAATATTGTCTTTGATTATTGACAGTTTCTTCTAACAAGGCTCTATTCCTATTCAAATATTGTGTTTGGAAATTAAGAGTGTACTGGAAGTTAATTTACTCAAGTACTGCACCTAGGTGCAATTTTGAGTAATTCCATTTTATGCTACTTCATACTTCCACTACACTAAATTGTGGTGGCAAATATTGTACTTTTTACTCCACTACATTTATTTTGACACCTTATCACCTTTAGTTACTAGTTACCGAGTATAGTTAAAGTGATACATACCTTAAACCATCAATTATTATAATCCAATATTACTCTGAAATGGGCCACTCTGCATAATGAGTACTTTTACAAGACATAAGTATATTTTGATGTACTTTTAGTTTTGAATGCAGGACTTTTACTTGTAAGAGTATTTTCTCACGGAAGTAATGCTACAATAAGTAATATAATCTGAGTACTTCCTTCACCACTCCTTCCTACTGTAGTTCTGTAGAAAAAAAAAAAAAGTGGAAAAAAAAGTGCCCCTAGCTCTGTGTTTCTCAGTCTGCTTGCGTTGAGCTGGGGAGATTTTAAACTTCTCAGATACTCTAATCAAAACACTGTGAGAGATTTGCCTCTGAGCTGAAATCAATTGTCTTTTTGTTAGGGCGTAAGCTTTTGAGTCACACACTTTTGCACATATGACCCAAACACTCTCCCCTAAAACTCCCTGCAGGCAAAGAGAGGAACAATAGGCCTTAGTCTCTTCTTCGCTCCATTCTGATTTCATGCAATACATGCAGTATACCTTCATTTATTCAAACTTCATCTGAGTGACACCTACTGTAATATTATAACAACTCCCTCTGATATTACTGGGAATGGACAAATATTACACAACTATATCACTATGGAATTTAATAAGCACCTCTCTGGCATATTATCATAAAAATTGGATATACACAGTAAGCTTCGTTGAGGTAGGCTTTATTGCAGGACAGATGCATTGGTTTGCTATTCGAATTACTTAACTATCTAATAAACTGGCAGCTCAGTGTGTATAGCATCCCCAAACCATAATGAGTTGCTTGTTTGTCATTAATGCATGCAATTAAAAGCACATTATGTGTCGCGTACTCTGTAGAGCATTTTAGAATGAGCATGCACTGTATGCGTCATATTTCATAAATGTTATTTCAATGCAAATTAGTCCTGAGACTAATTCAGTGGCTTCAGTCACTGAGTTTACAGATTAAGATTAGATTTAATTTGTTTAAAAAAAACTTGAGTGATGGCAAAATGTCAGGCATTTAATTACAATTAAAATTAAATGAAACAAATCAAATTAGCCCTCCTTTACAAAGGTTATCCATGTGTTTAAGGAAATTGGGTTATCTGTGGTTTTGTCAAAGGACCAGAGGTACTGCTGGAGATACTGTTCACTGCCTCAAAAATATAACTACATCCTAGGGCTACATGAGCCATAGATATTTTTGACTACAATGACACGGTCATTGGTCAGATTGGGATATTTGTGTATCCCGAAGTCACTATGAGATGCATGGAGAATGAAACTAGAAACTGTGGTGATGACTGCACTACACTTTTACTGTATCACAGTTCAATCTGATCGTCACCATCAAATTAAAGCTAAATTACTAAATCAGTCAGTACTTTAAAGTTATAGTCACTGTTTATTTCAAATCCAGTGCACTGGAGTACAAAAGCCAATGCCAGTGTTACAAAAAATGTGTCACTGCCCTAATACCTACTGACTGCACTGTATATGTGGCAGGATAGTTTCCAATTGCTCTGGGCGTGTTGTGTACTATCTATAAATGTAAGTAAATCCCTCTGTGTTAAGTTCAGCTTGTCATTGAAGCCCTCCAGATGTTTTTCTCAGAAAGAGATATGGAGGAACACTGAGGTGTGTGTCTTTCGGTGCTGCATAAATGTGCGCATTTACTTTAGTAGGCGCATGTGTGTGAATAGTTATCTTTGTCCTTCTCTGTTTGGGAATTTAAGTCTGAGCGCCGGTTTTCATGTGAAGGTGACTTCATTTACATAGCAATCTCCTTGTGGTTTCCTTTCGCTCACCTCTTTCACTCCCCTGCTCTTTCTCTGCCTCTCTCTCCTCTCTCTATGTCATCTCACATACGGTCTGTAACATCGATTCACATCCATCAATCTTTCTTCCTCTCTGCCTCGCTCTCTCACACACTGCCACAGTCCCTCTATGTTTCACCTGACCAATTATTTTATAATAATTCTAGTAATGAGTCTGTCTTCTGGAGTGGGTAAAACCACGTGTATTTCCTTCCCATGATTACATTATCCAACATGTGGGATAATAATGTGTGGAGAATTACTGCTAATGTGAGCCGCAGATTAATAACCAAAGCAGCTACACTCGAATAGAATGTGACAGACGTGAAAGACACCACAGGATGCATCGACCCCCGGCTGTCCATCAATCAAACTCCGCTACTGACACCTTCCCACAATGCCACAGGGTGCCTGCTGTGAATATTTAACATGCAGAGATGTCTCCTATTGGCTCCCTGGGGACTTTAATGGCTCAGGTGCATGACTGTGAGAGGTCATTTCTGATCATATTCCCATTACATCGACAAGAGGGGGGTTTGTGGGTGTGAATTTGCCGACAGTACATGTGCATGTATGCATGTGTGTTTGCACGGTTGTATTTGTTCTTTAAACAAATATATTATCCAAGTGTACTCTGTGAGCCTACAGCATCTTCCCACTCTGTTCCTTCTAGATAGGAGGCACTGAGTCGATAATGTTAGATTTCAGCACCAAGAGGGCATACCTCTGTTACAATATCTTGCATCTTACTTTTGCTTCCTACAGCATTTTGCAGATGCCCTTTTAGTCATCTTCTATGCTGTAGAATTATACCATATCTTATGTATATATTTATATATATATATATATATATATATATATTTTAAGTAACTATTCTTCTGTCTTCTGGTCCTCTCATCACTACCTCTACCCAGTCTTCTATGGTGCATGTAGCACAATTTGTCTTTAAGTGTGTGTGTGTGTGTGTGCATGTGTGGTGCGATTGTCTGCATCTGGTTTTTATGGTCCCAGGGGGTCAAGAGGGTGTTTAATATGAGAGAGGTGACTCCCTTTATTGCTATCCATAACCTGAGTAAGATCATATGAACCCTGTCATTTACAGTGAATGGGAAGCATCTGGTGAGCCGTAAATGTAATGTATATGAAATGAAATGAAAGCCATATGGCTGTAACGCACAGCCTCCCTTCAATCCGACCAAGTGACTGACGAGTCAGATCACAGTCCTTCCCGCCTGCTACTCTCTGCTTCCTCCCGACGCCAACCTCCCCAACCATTCAGGGCCATGACTGAAAATTGATGATCGAAAATTGAATTTCGGCCAATTGTGTGACTGTTTACATGCGTACCAAGCCGACTCAATACGTGATTTGTATTCAATACTACCTCCAGTATCAAACAGACTACAAACAGAACCAGAAGCTTCCAGATGCCATAATATCTTGTCTCTATGCCTAACAGATTTTACATTCATTTGCAGATATCTGTTTAGTAGTGTTAAGAGACGGGGGGGGGGGGGGGGGGGGCTAGTGTGCATCAGAGGTGAAGTCTGTTGATGGTTGCTGGGAGACGAGGGGGGATGTGCAGTAAGGACTAACTCCTCGTGATGACCAAGCAGTTTTCTTTTCTGTCATGTCGTGAGGCCCTCTCAGCATTTGTCTCTTCTCTGATTAGCATTCCCAGGCCCGGCTGACTCCCCCCATAAATCCATTAGTGGTCATGAGTGTGAGTCATTGGCTCGGTAAAGCTGCTGAACACGTCGTTATTGCTAACCCCACAAACCTAGGGGAGGGGGAGGAAAGCAGAGGAGGGATGGAAAAGGATAAAAACGTTAAAATAGTAAAAGAGGAGCTAACATACAATTCCACTTGCTGGAGTGTGTGTAGTATTAATTAATATCAATATTTTTGTGTTAATGATTTAGAAAGCATTTTTCGTCTTATTTTCTTTAATACAACATTAGTACTATTAATGTAGCAGTATGACATATCATAAAGATATGTTCTTACTGAACTCCCAGAATCACACATGTTATGATTAATCTTCATTATGTTATATTGTCTCTGCC